TTTTTTGTGATTGTTTTTCACCCTCTCACTGGTGTTCTACCTCAAAGGTGTTATGAAGCAAGATTTCATTTAAAAACATTTGCTTCCTCATTGTTCAGTCTTTCTAATCATCATGTCCTTCTAGTGTGACTAGCCCTATTCACTACTATAAAACACTGACTTGTTATTATGCCTGCGATGATTTCCCGAGTAAAGGTAGCCGCTGTTTTCTTTTCCCCGTGTGCATCTCCGCCTGTGGATGTAGAAGCTGAACCCAGTAGATGTTTCTTTCATTTTCTTAGGATTAACAAGTGAATTTGAAACACAGCATTGTCACAATGGATTTTTGCTTGTATAAAGTTGTATAAAGAATTTCTAAACCTGTTAAATATTTTTTATATACATTTTTTTAATTTATGTTCAATAAAGATTTGAAATGTTTGTTTTCTTTACTTTTTGCAAATGTTTTTACCATCAAACATTTATTAAATTACTGGAATTAAAACAGTAAAAGCTGTGACTCTTAAGTAAACGTATATAAATGTCCATGCAGAACATCTCAGATGTTTGATGTCTTTACCAGAAACCAGCTCTTTGTAATAATGCAGCATTATGACTGAATTCTCAGATTAGGGGATGCGGCAGTCACCCTCTTACGCTGCTGAGATACTGCTGAGTTTTCAGAAACAGCCTTATCAGGTTTCTGTGTTTTAGACAGAAACGAACCAGTGGCACCTGTGAACAAAGTGCCACTGTGGTTCTTAACAAATATTTCCTACTGTAAGAAATGTGACATCTGTGTCATGACACACTCCAAAGCTGTTTGGATGAGTTTAATGTTGAGTTCCATATTAGCCTGTGTGCATAATCATCATTTGGTTTAAAATTACATAATGGCTGATTGCATAACTGTCAAATGAAGAACACTGTTTATCCAGAAATGCCCTTAAGAGGCCCAATGGATATTATCCCTCAAGTTTCCATGTTGCTCAAGGTCTTTCTGTTCATTTCTGCCATGTGGCTCTTTCCCAGAACAGTTTTCCCAGTTCGACCTCGAGAGAGTTAAAAACATTAGGTGCTGCAGGGGTGTATATATATAAGAGTGTTTCTCTTACCTTTAGACGATTGTCACCATGAAGGCCCTGATATTCCTGGCTCTGCTTGGAGCAGCGTGTAAGAGATTGATACATTTTCTTCTTTTGTAAACTGACATAACATACATACATTGTTACATAACAATATATACTTAATATACCAATTTATGAATTACTATGCATTTGTCTGCTGTTTCAGTTGCTGCAGCTGAGGATGATAAGATTGTCGGAGGGTATGAGTGTCCCAGCCACTCTGTTCCCTACCAGGTGTCTCTGAATGCTGGATACCACTTCTGCGGTGGATCCCTGATCTCCAGCCAGTGGGTGTTGTCTGCTGCTCACTGCTACAAGTCGTAAGTACAGGAAATCACGCTCTGCATGACTCTACTGCATGCTTTACTGTCCAAAATACACATTGAAGACCATCTCTAGACTCGTTTAAGACCGAATACATAATGCTTGGAAAATGTGAGCTGCCAGACACAAGATTATCACTTACTCTCAGTGTTGTTTAAATGGTAAATGGTTTGTATTTATTAAGCACTTTTCCAGTCTGATCAAACTCAATGGTCCTTACAAAATAAGTCACACTCAGTCATTCACACATAAATTCATACCACACTAATATATGCTGTGCTTTCTCTATTACACACCATTCATACACTGTGGGCACAGCCTTCAGGGGCAATTTGGGGCCCAGAGAACCATCGACCTTCTGCACAGCCACAGCAGTTTAGGTTTCACACTGGATCATTATTGGCTCAGGGTTTGGATTAGGAACACATGATTTAAGGTGAGCATGGAGAAATGTTCTGCCTTCAGCAGATCTAAGTGAAGACAAAAGACTTACGTTAGTGAGGAGACAATGAGAAACAGCAGTTTTTGATGTAGTGCAGTTTAACAACTTGCAATTCATACTTTTTAAATTTCCACTAAAACTTGATTTTAACAACTGTTCAAATATTTAATAGATGCAGCAGCTCAGTGCTACTAAAACGTGACTGTGTTTGATTGTTATTTGTACTGATCATTAATTATGAATGTGGACAGATGTGTGTGTTGGAATGTGTGTATGAACCGTTTTTTAGACAAAATCTGCATTACTATCTTGTGCAATGACAATAAAGCCTTCTAATCTTCTTATCTTGTTAGAATTATGTTTAAAAACAGTTTCAAATTCTAAAATACAACAAAAATGCTTTTTAAAACTCTCGGCTGCTTGTGGTGCATGAGTAATACATATACAGTATGTCCACATTTACAAAGTAAGACAGACGTAGGTGTTTTTATGCCATGTAAAGTAAAACTCCTGTATATGACCTATGGATAAAAAGCAATAACACAATCCTTTTATTGACAGTTTTGGATTTAATATATAAGAAATAAAACAGAACCTTGCTCTAGCACACTCACAGGTTTGGCTGCTAAATGCTATGACCAGGAGCTGATGGTGACTCAGCAGTGCAACATTTTTAATAGATATTGTTTTGAAATATTTGTTCAGAAAATGTTCCCAAGGCTTAAGATGATAAAAGTGATGCAGAAATCACAAGAATAAAAAAATCTGACATTTATGTTCTCAAACTTTTCTGCCTCCTCCAGTCGTATCCAGGTCCGTCTCGGTGAGCACGACATCGGGGTGAACGAGGGCACCGAGCAGTGGATTGACGGCGCCAGGATGATCAAGCACCCGCAGTACAACAGCTACAACCTGGACAACGACATCATGCTGATCAAACTGAGCCGCCCCGCCACCCTCAACAGCTTCGTCCAGACCGTGGCCCTGCCCTCCCGCTGCCCCGAGGCTGACGAGAACTGCCTGGTGTCCGGGTGGGGCAACACCTCGGCCAACGGCAGTAAGAGATGAGACATAAAGGAGCTGAGTGAAGAGGGGTTGTAAAGAAAAACAGAAATGAGAGACAGCAGCAGCCCTGAGGAGACTGTAACCTTGTTACTGTGTGGAAGGGAATGAAGCCATTAAATAGTTTTTTATTACGTAAAGGAATAAATGAAGTTTGTCTAATAATGGTGGGAAGGCAAAATAAATGTAAAATCAAAAGAGGGATCTTCGTGCTGAAGGCCTAGAAAATGAATATGATTGGTCACCATCTATCTTAGCACCATTTAAAAAGGTTGAATAAGAAACATGACTTTCAGCTATGACATGCGTTTTAGTGTTTGAGATCTACTGCACAGCACTTTTGAATACTCTAAGTTCTTCTGTTCTATTATTCTCCTTGTATATTTTGTTGCCTGATTCTATATCTTTGTGAAATCCAAAACTAAACTAAAATACTAAAAAAGTTGGATAGAGTGCCATTTGACACCAGACACAGGCCATAATAAAATTGGACAGTAAAGACTTTTACCTTTTGAAATAGTTGTATAAAGTCTTCTGTGGCACTAAATAGAGATATAATTGTGAAAACATCACCCTGACATTTGCACTCAGGGTTATTTTGGCTCAGAAGTAAGAAATATGTTGATCCAGTGACTGAGACTTGTCTTCCTGCTCCACAGACAACTTTCCTGACAGGCTGCAGTGCCTCAGGCAGCCCATCATCGATGACAGGATCTGCAAGAACGCCTACCCACACATCCTCACCGAGAACATGGTCTGCTCTGGGTTCATGCACGGGGGTGCCAGCAGCTGCCAGGTGAGTTTACCCACACCCTCAGGTGGTACATGATGGTCCAGCACTCAACTAGAGACAGCAGCAAAACCCTGCATTTCACCCTGGTGTCATGTTAATCTTTAGTTCTTGAGTTACACACTCACCAAGATGGCAAATTATAGTGTGTTGTTGTTCTTCTGTCTGTTTGCAGGGGGACTCTGGTGGTCCTCTGGTGTGTAGTGGTCAGCTGCAGGGGGTCGTCTCCTGGGGTTATGACTGCGCCATGCAGGGACACCCCAGCGTCTACGCCCGTGTGTGCCGCTACAACAGCTGGATCAGTGCTGTTATGAGCAACTAATGAAGACACCCCCCCAACACATGCACATATAAGCTCACACTGCAACACCATACTAGCTCATGCTCTGTTTATTTAGAACACCTTAAGCATTGTTATCATTCATTTACATCTCATGAACAAAACGAGTAGGCCTAATATTCTGTAACCTACAGTCATGGTGGAGGATAAATAAATAAAAATATATGTTAGCACAATTTGTTTTGTTGTTTCTTGAGTTTAACAGTTGTTGCAAAGACAACATTAAAATGCTCAGCTGTGTTCGTTCTGTTCTCGGTCACGAGGCCACCGCTGTCCTGAAATTCATGATGAATTTCGAACTGAAAAAAAATTTAACTTACATGTATAATATCTTTAGTTTGTACTTACTGCACTACAGACACATGCATGCCTATGAGATGCCTTTTGTACTCGGTTAATGTGGCACAGCAGTGATGAGGGAAACAAGCACACTTGAGTAAATAGGCAAAACTGCATTTCACTGCTCTGGATTCTTGGCATGCATTCCTCAGACGCCGCTTTGTAAACTTTGCTGTTTCTTGTTTGCTGAGGCGACCTGAACAGACAGAAGAAAAACACAGAGAGAGCAGCAGGGATGGTCATACAGTATGTGCACTGGTCATAACAAGAGAAGGTATGACACTAAATATGTAACTTAGCTACTTAAATACAACCATTAATGCTCAGTTTTAATTTGGACATAAGAATTAGGGCAACAACTATCAACCTACATGACTAGAGGCCTGTGGTGTTCTCTTTTGCCCAAAAGGTGGAATAACTTCAACACCCAGAATGCACCGGGCTCATTGCCTTCCAAAGCCACGCCCAGGCCTCTCCCACTGGTCAGGCTCAACTGGAGCTTCCGGTGTGTTTAAAAATGTTTGTATCAAAATGTTAGCAGCAGAGTCGTGTCCATGTACAAGCTTGTATCATCATTGCAAAGACAAATCTTTGTCTTTTAATCAAGAAAATCTAATTAATTCTGTAATCTCAACCAGGAAATACTAAAAATGTGACCTTGCTGCAATTTGGATTTGAATAAATAAAACAATGAATGTGTTATATCTAGGCTGAAAATATAGAATGAGCATCTGTGATGTTCATTACATTTAATTGCTGAAATAATGGCTCATGCAAACCCACCTGCCCTGCGATCCTGTCCAGATCTCTCTGTCCCTGAGGGGTAAGTCTCCGTCCACTGTAAATAAATGTTAATAATTTAAATAATTCCATCACTTATTCCATTTCTTCCACAGTCTCATACCCAGCATGCACTTCTCTTACCCACTGGGGTCCTTCTCCACCATCTTGAGGCTCTCCAGGGCCTGGAGGACCTTCCTCGCCACGTTCCTGGAGCCCACGCTAAAGTGGGCGGGGCACACGCCGTTCCTATGACGCCCTCCATAGATCTTGATCATGGAGCCCACGCCCACCCCTCCTCGCAGGTACAGGTGACGGGCTGTGGATGCTGAGGAGACAATATACAATATAAATTACAACTCGTCCCCATTTTACCATTAAACCTGTTTCAAACAAAAGACATGAAATCAAACATTCCAACGCAAGTGTGTGAAAATCTTTTGTTGGGTCAATTTGCCCGAGGTAGATAAGAAAAAGGAGCTGAGTGTATATGCTCTTACTACATATACAGTGGAAAACTGATAAGACAGACCAATATTACACAAGGTGTACTATCTGTGGAGGCTAAATTTCACATGTGTATAATAAGTCT